AGGAACAGTAGATCAAGAATAATTCTAAGACAAATGAACTTTTATTTGGCGATAAACGAGACTTAGTTAACCAGATTATTTTGTTAAAAAAAAAAAGTTAACCAGATTATTAATTATTAAATTAATTAAAAAGCAGCTCTCGTGAAAGCATCGATTAATAATTACTCATTAATTAACCAAGAAAAGGACGAACAAGAGGAATTTGGGGATTATGTCATGTATATGAGTGATGAGTGGATATATGTTTTGACTTTGGAGTTTTGAACGTTGACCCCGTGATTACTGAAGATGACCGTTCTTTTCAGTCTCTTAATATTAACATAATTTTTTATTCCATTTTATGTATGCTAACAAAAATGTATATTTATGTGAAAATTATTATATTTTTTTGTTTGTGTTGCTTTTTAGAGTATGATATTTCTATCTATTTAAAAATATGCATATTTGTTAAAACAATATAACTGCACGACAATAATTTTACCAATTAATAAGATAATTATGTATAGGGATAATTTTATTTTTAATTATATTTATAATAATATATCTAATTTTTAACTGAGATGTGTTATTGGAAAGCTTGTGAGGCAGAATTTTAGTACAATAAGTATTCTGAAAATCCAACAGCCTAATTTTGGTGAGCTGAAATGTTAAATAAATAGATACTATTAGGTTGTATGATTACTACTTCGAATCTGTTGATTTTTATAAAATATACTTTATTAATAAATTAACTTGCAAGTTTTCTAATGACACATCCGAATCAAAAATTGGCTATATCGATCATCAAAAAAATTCAAACGAAATTGTTTATTTGTCCAAAGTGTCTTTATTTTCCTTGCTGATTAATTACCGACAAAATTGCCTTCACGAAATCGATAAACCACATCTTATTCGTCTTATTATAGATTTTAAAAGCGCTTAATCAATTTCAAAATTATCTTTATTTGAGTTGGAAACTTGTCGTATCATTTCAAAATTAGGTATTTGAGTAGATAAATTGTCAATTTCTTATGTTTCAAATATGTATTTGTGTATTTAAGTAGATAAATTGTCAATTTTGTATGTATGTTTTGGAATAAATTTTGTCAACATTAAAACTTTAAAAGACAAAATGATGAAAATCGAATACTTTTTTACACAAAAACAAATCCCTACTATCAACTAGGTTGAAACAAAGTCCAGAATTACAGTGTGTCAAAATCAAAAAAGAATATGTAAAACCCTAATCAGTTTCACATTTCTAGAATATAAAATAGTTTCAAGCTCATATGCCACACTGGCAAAGAAAATTGGTCGAATTTCTTCCATTCAGAGATTCTTAACAAGTTAAATATTAATTGAAAAGACCAAACACAAAGGAAAAAAAACATAATTAGAAAAAAAAAAGGAAAAAGCCAACTAAGGTGAGTAAGGCCACGAGACACAAAATGATGCACAAAAAAAGAATGATGAGGAAGTTGAAAGGCAGCATAAAGCAGAAAGCTACAACAATCTGCTAAAAGATAATTAAAAAGGTTTTCTTTTTTGCAAAACACAATTACACACAAACACACACATTGAGGAAAAAAAATTATAACTCATAAGCATACTAACACACACCAACCCCATGATACCCTTTTGTGATGTTATATATATATGTACTGCATGTTCTTGAAATGTGAAAAGCCCAGAACTTTTTATTTTTTTCTCTACAAATTGGATTTACAAAATCAAATTACAAAAATCTTTTTTTTTTTCCCAAACACACACACACATATATTGTAATAATGCTTGATATTGAGTGGTGATTTTAAGAAACCAGGCAGTGTTAATAATAGTTCTTCTCTGTTTTGAAGGTTGAGAAAAAACAAATTTTCCTCAAATAAAGGAGAAACAATTGTGTCGTTATTAAATGGGCGCGAGTTGCTCGAAGTTTCCCTTTTGCTGGTGGCATTCGCACTTCAAGCCCTCTGTTCTTGAATCCCCCGATCTGGGTTAGTCTAATTTCATTACTAAAATTTGTTTTTTCCTTTTTTT